AAGATAAGTAGGTATTTCTGTAAAATAAGATAGATACTCGATATTTTTGTACTTAATTAATATAAACGCTGACCTCACTTTAGGGTTTCTTTCTCTTCAACATCGTGAGTAATACATTCCAAGTAAGTAGGTACCGCGGAGTTCTCACATTTCACTCACTACCGCAAATACCTGTATGTATATTTTATTATCATTATACGTAGGTTTTTTTTTAAGGGGGGGAAAATCATCGAATGACTGCTCCCGCCTAGGTGAGGCGGGAGGGAGTGTCAGACTCTTACTGACTAAAAACCACCCCGTTCCTTCTCTTGCGCTTCGAGCCAGATCCCGGTAACCAGTTAGGTTCGTGTCCCTTCGTCCAGCATACTCACCATGGAATCCTGATATTTCATGAATGTCAAAAAACTGTTCTGAAATAGTGCTAAATAGTGCCCAAAGGAAAAAAATAGTGCTCTTGTACTTGCGAAGTTATAGCCATAGTTCGATGAGTATGCTGGACGAAGGTTTCGCCCAGCATACTCACCTCCGTCCGGAGAATCTGTATACGCTTCAAACATAATTCATACTTCAAAAAATAGTTCCCAAATAGTGCCAAACGGTGCCCAAAAAGAAAAAACAGTGCTCGAATAACTTCGGAGTTATAGGCTTCGTTCAGTGAGTATGCTGGGCGTAGGTTCTACGCCCAGCATACTCACCTCAGTGCGCGAATATCGAACGAGCTATAGGTACAATTTACGTCTCAAAAAATTGTGCTTGAAATAGTGCCCAATATCAGTCCAATTTTTGCTTGACTTTTGACTTAGAAAACCATTAAATTTTAATGTAAACTTCTACATACTAACGTAAAATGGGGTACAGTCGTCGACACATGTTTTTGGACAAAAATATTAAACTTTCTAATTGTAGACTTCATGTTATTGGAAATAATTATGGTATTTTCTCACATGTCAAAAACTTTCGATTAAATGCATTATTATATATTTTATAAATAATAATAAATGAATGAAACTTTAAGCGTAAATGAAGTCTATTACTTCATTGCATTGTGTGTTTGTCTGAATAAAAACAGTCATTTGCAGCCAATAAAATTAATATCTTGAAAAATTGTAAAAAGGAAATTATACAGTTTCTTTTTGTATATATGTTGCAGGCAAAACTTATAACCAGTCAAAACTAGTACTGTGACATAGTTATACAAATTTTTAAAACTCTTTCCAATAGTTTCATCAATGAAAGGTTTAGCAATTAAACATAAACATATTCATTTGCGTCGCGGGCGCCGCGCGTCGTAAGCCCCATACCTATTGACCGTACGTGCATCCATTACTGCCACACTATATTGAACTTTATCACATGAGGAATACAGGTCAATTCCGTAAACGTTGTGGTACCGTCCTTGATCCGGAAAATGATTATTTTGAATAATTTTGTCAGTTGTAATGTAAGCATTAATAACAGCAACTTTATTTTTCATGCATGATTTACTTCATTTGATATCTTAATCCTTCAAGCGCCGTGATCTAGACAAAATATATAAAATCATTGTTCCTAGCTACCGGGGTCCCATGCGACGCGCGAAGGCTTAATCATATTATTATAAAGTATTATTAAAATAATGTGTAATTAATAATATTGCGATTCTAAAGTAAATACTCCCTTACATAGACAATTAATAATTTACACAAGACAAAAATTGTTAGAAAGAAAGTTAATAATATTGTATTCGACTGTACTCAATGTAATGTATGTAGAAGTTTACAATCAAATTTAATGGTTTTCTAGGTCAAAAGTCAAGCAAAAATTGGACTGATATTGGGCACTATTTCAAGCACAATTTTTTGAGACGTAAATTGTACCTATAGCTCGTTCGATATTCGCGCACTGAGGTGAGTATGCTGGGCGTAGAACCTACGCCCAGCATACTCACTGAACGAAGCCTATAACTCCGAAGTTATTCGAGCACTGTTTTTTCTTTTTGGGCACCGTTTGGCACTATTTGGGAACTATTTTTTGAAGTATGAATTATGTTTGAAGCGTATACAGATTCTCCGGACGGAGGTGAGTATGCTGGGCGAAACCTTCGTCCAGCATACTCATCGAACTATGGCTATAACTTCGCAAGTACAAGAGCACTATTTTTTTCCTTTGGGCACTATTTAGCACTATTTCAGAACAGTTTTTTGACATTCATGAAATATCAGGATTCCATGGTGAGTATGCTGGACGAAGGGACACGTTAGGTTCCCCGCGACATAGGTACTATACTATTATACCATCCGATATTGAGGTGCAAATTGCAAAAATGTACGCAAAACTTTATTCGCGGGCTACCTTGGTGGAGCATTCACCTTACCAGCGGTGGCGAACCATTGGCACGCGTATATTTTGGGCATATGCCTAGCAAAGCACTTGATGTGCCTTAGCTTCGCAGCTGGTACTGGGGTAAGTAGGTGGTTGTTCGATGTTTCTCCAAAGTCAATTTTTTTTTAAAAAATATTGTACGTACTTTGATACATAGATAACGTTCGATATGACTCCCCAAACTACTCCCCAATTTTGTGAAGAACCCTAAACACTTATAATTGTAACACAAACAAACGCTGTATGGTAAATGGTAAGTACATAAAAACGTTAATAATTTACTCAACCGAGGCCCATCGTCTAGTAAGCGTAACTGCGTAAACTCTATTTAAAAATACTCCACTCATACATAGGTAAACTTTACTATGAATCAGAGTTCTTACAACTAGGAGACGGTGATATAATATGATCATGAATAAGATCTATGACGACACAGACATCAACGGAATAATAAAACAAATAGCGTTGCTTTGTAATGTCCCAATAAAATATCATCCTATCACTGACTCAGTTTTATTTTTATACTTATGACTGATTTATACTTATGCGAGTTAATTGAGGAAATTAACTACTGAAATAACAAATAATTGTGTGATCATTAGGTATAGGTACAGGAAGACTTTATGAAAAGATATGAAATTTAATTTCGCGGTAACTTTATTTGTATCGTTTGGTCTGAAAACGAAATATTACCTATCGAGTTATATTTATTTTCCAGTGATCGGTATAAATAAAACAAAATGACATTATTGACAGTTTGGTAAATAAGGAGGTATTTATAAATTCAAATTAGGTACATGTGTAACTTTTTGGTACCTTTAAGATAAACTACAGAGTAAGTACTAAATTTGTTTTTGGTATGTGGTCACCGTGGCCACCGGGTATGTTTTAGTGAGGCAAAAATTCCACACTTCTAGTCCTAGACTTTTTCCTCAACAGCTTTTGAGGGTGTAACCTTAAACAATACACAACAAACAATTTTAGTTAGTTTACTCAATCTTAAAGGTATTTAAGTCACAACATTTCCTGCATTTTAGCTACGATTCTATGAGTAAGCAAGTCCGCCTACACCTACCTAATGCAGTGACATACTTTAAAATAAAACATGTTTGATTGTATTCAATAAAATCTTTACTAATTATGTAGCTTCACAAATGGAAGCCGCTTTCATTGCTCAGTTACTTAGGTATCTACTTTCTCTCGAAAGCATCAGACTCGGGAACAAGATTGCAAACGAGCGAGATCACTAACCTATGCACGTCCGCGTGTGTCCTACAATTTTAAATATGTATGTGCAAGAAACCGGTAAATAATAGTACCCTAAGAAACGGATTTTACATTTAACTTAAAGCTTACTTTCAATGAAGGATTAGTATCAATTTTATTGTAGTAATAACTTGGTTTAAAATCTATTGAATGTTCTGAAGCAACATGGTTAAAGGTTCCGGTTCTCATCGCCCCGCCTGTCCGCGGTAACGCAGCAGAAACGCGGCAGGCGCGGTGCGGCGGCCGGCGGCGTCGCTGTGGCGATGGCGCATGCATAGCGCGGCGAAGGGCGAATGGCCGCGCGGCGGTGATGTCATCGTTGTTCAGATTCAGAGGTGCTCACTCTCAGGATCATAATTATTTTATTTATTTACGGTCAGTCTCAAAAATTTGTCTATCCTACATATAATTTATTGAGAGAAAATGTTATGTGGAAAAATGTGTTGCGTACAAAAAATGTGCATCCTTTCAAAGATTAAAATATGTAACATTAATTACCTAAATTATGTTATGTAAAAAAGCGACATATATATCAAAGCAAAATACAGTAGAAATTATCAGAATAAGGCAGGACTCACGGGGCAGATTTCTACTGATTTTTTGCCCTGCCAATAAACGCAAAGCAAAGGTGGGAGACCAGTTCCTCAACCACTCCAACCAGCTAATTAAGGCAAGCTGGAACTAAAGAACTGTGACTTCTCCCTTGACACCTGGGATGACGGCAGTCCGCGGGTTCACTAATTCCATTCACCTGGTCTCAAGGTGCCCTATTGTTATTATTAATTTTAAGCGGTTTTTATACAAGGTTTTACACCTATAATAATATACATATAACTGTATAATCTTTAGGTACTACTCCCTACATTAATATCTAGTATATAAAATCTCCCGATCGATTTCAATTATGTTGGCCAGTCTGTCAACTAGACCCACTACACAGTGTGTGCGCAAACAAGTGCACTCTCTGAACCCGATGGGACGGTAGACTGACACGACCGGAGAGATGTCAGGTGCAGGACCAACGGCTTTACAAGATTTCCGAGGCACGGGGGTAATAATCTGATGCCTTGCTCCCTATTGTAGAAAAAGAAAGATATTTAGGTATATAAATATGTTATCAACCTATCTATCTATATATCTTCGGTGGATTACTTAATCTTTATCTAAAAATGTTGAAAGAACGCTAATCAAAATATTTTTACCGATAAGGGAGTTATCTAACTTTAGTTTTTATTGAACAGTCCTGGTAAGTGGTAAGTAAGCAGGTTGTTTTCTTACCGTCGTAAATTAACCGCGAGTTTACGAATTACGAACCAAAGGTTGGCAAGAGTGAGAGGCGAGAGGTTCGCTGTTCGCCTCTAACCTAATAAACCGGGTGAGTTTCGTTCCGTTCGGAGTTTCGGAGATCGTTCGACGTCCACCAGTTTTACCGTCGACGGGTTCTAGATCTGTTGTGAGTTGGGTGTGTCGCTGTTTAAAAGTACGTACAACTTTAATGACTTTACCTATGAATAAGCTTTAAATACATATTAGAAAGCTTCATAGGAACAGTTTAGTGATTATAAATAAGTACCATCCGATGTTTCCAAGTGTACTCTGATATTTACCGGCGAATGAATGTTTATTCAATCGCTAAAAGCCGGGCCGGCCGTGCTGATAGTAAATGAGTTATATTTTTAGCGTATGTACCTACGTTTTGTAACATTATTTTTCTGTTCTTCAGGAATCTAATCAACATGAGTGGACAACAGTACTACCCCTACAAGGTAAGCCATCCACCTACTTACCTAACTACCTACATGGCTATAATACTATAGATTTCTCACGGGATGATGTCATCCTTCCCCAAGGTTATCGATAGTTAGGCTCCACTGCGGTGCTAATAAAATTATGTGTTATATTTCGGTACCTCGGTGTGTATGATACAAAATGTAACTAGTCTAGTTTAAACTTTCAAGGGACAAAAATCATATAAGTACCTAGCGGAGAAAAACAAGTGCCATCATACTCATAAAACTACCTTCTCACAAATTGTTGTAAGACAGAACAAATATTTACATTCATATAAAATATATATTTTTCTCTGTCCTCGAAACTGGTAAACTAATCCATTAAAATACCAATGGCGTACAGGGAGTTGTATGTGTAGGGGAGCGAGGAATCACGCCCTAACCTCCCTATGACTAAGCCGAACCAAGTCAAGGCCAGACAACTTGGCTGCGGCCTGCGGGGAGGAAATCTCCGAAAGATACTTACATAATGACGTAATTCTTGTCCCCTTTTAGCGATTCAATCATAATGTAGACACGTTGGACATATATTACAATATAGTTATGATGTGGGTAACTTACAATAAAATAAATAAGTTGGTACATAAACTTCGGCGCTACTAGTACAAAAAATATAACGCCCGGAAAATACTAGATGTTCATAATAACGTCATCTTTAAAATCGAGACTTCATATGGGTTCCAGTTTGCAAATTACTCATCAGTGAATACCGCGAATGATAATGTTAACCTGCGGTTGCCGATTGTGTACTTAGACTTGGAATTGAAAGCCGGTTCATAAATTTCGTTGCCTTGGGATGCGATCAGCCTTTTCTGTAAATGCGGTAAAAACTTGTTACAACATCAATTCTTAAACAATGGTCTAGTAACCTGTTCGTATTATTTTCCATTGTTTAAGTATATTCAACGAGTAGTTTCCCACAAAACACTATTATCTACATTTTGTGGATTTCCGACATCATTTCAAACTTGAACTTGAAGATCTATCAAAAACATTAACATTTGTTTTTGTCTCACAGTGCACCCCCACCGTGTACCCAGCGGAGCCCTTTGACCCCGCTGCGGATGCCGAGACCCTCCGTAAGGCCATGAAAGGCCTTGGAACAGATGAGAAGGCCATTATTGACGTGCTGTGCAGGCGAGGAATCGTCCAACGTTTGGAGATCGCCGAGACTTTCAAGACTAACTACGGCAAGGTAAGGAATGTTATTTTTTACTCCAAGGAATATCCTCATGGGGCCTCCTCGTCTGGGGAAGATGAATTGTAAGACTCTTACTTACTACGCACGAGAACCACATTAGGAATAATTCCGAGAGCAAAATTCTTAATCTCTACGTTAATTTCGAGACGGTGATTCCAAACGTGACCTTCAAATCTTTTCGGGTGAACGTCCTAGTCAAGATTATCATCTGACCTTCACAAATCACGACATTAGGTATCTATGTACCTCCAGACAAACAAAATAAAATAAAACAGTTTGCTTGTGATAACATGACATATTTTATTCACCTGCAACTCTTTCGTGGCAATACGGATCACAATCTGATAACTTGTAAATAATATTTGCAGTTTCGAAACCTAGATCTTTGTTCGTTTGGATGTTAGATTCTAGAACTAGAAAATTTCTTGGTTCTGTTGCTAAATACCGCTAATAACAGTTATTTTTTCCTGAAGTGTACAATTAGCAACACTAAGACAAGTACCTACGTAGATAATCATTATTTAAAGTGACCTCCCTACTCCGTCTGTAGGATTTTGCAGATAAATATAATCAGACGGATCTTCTATCTACATGTTTTCTTATTAACTAATTAAATAATATTTACTTGGTATTAAAATCGATACGCCAACAAATTTATTTAAAAACGATAAATAAGTCGTTAAGTATTTCCAATCACTTATTTTTGTATATTATCTTACGCAGCGCTATAAAAAACAGACGCATAAATGAACAGACATAGAAACAAGTGTCTATGAATTATCTCACGTTTGATTACGTCATACCAAATTAGGAACGTTAATTATTATGATTTTGTATATTAGGCCTCATAAACAAAGGTTTGCGAGGTTTTGTAAATGGTTTAATACTTGTGACCTCGACCTCTTTGCTCCCTTCCTTCCGAGTTGTATGATTCATTCGTTGATTCATGAAATCATGATTGTTATCACTGATTGACTTTAGAACCGTAATAATCATGTGTTTTTCTTGTTTCCCGGAGATCATGAATCATTCTAACAACCTCTTGCTTTAATGTTTTGGTAGACTTTAAACTGAGGTTTAAAAATCGTTCACTGAAACTATTTTGGTCTCCATTAATACCCAAATTCGTGAAGAATAAGACTGCCTCATGCATAAAAATTATAACAAATCCCAGTTATAAAAGATTTCTGCGCTAAAAATTACAGAAATGGGAAATATTTCGAACAGACTAGATACAAAATGTGCATGATGAATGATGCTAATTTATGCTATCAACATTTTTGTTTGCATTCACTATCTAATCACATGTTATGGCTGAATGTGTTACATATGTACCTATCTAGGCTCTAGTATAATGTTATCTGAAAATTTTAACATGTAATATTAGAGGATCACATTACCTAATTGTACCTACATTTTAAACGAAATTTGGCGTTGTTTGGATGAATTAGAAAGTCATGTAGTTCTTTATATTGCCAGATGCATAAACCATTCTGCGAATTAATATTATATGTTGTTTATATTATATTATGTTTACTGGTTTAAATTAATGGTTACTAATAATAACTAAATAATAGGAAAAGTAAATTATTAGGCATTGTTTAAACACGTAAGTGTCCAACAGGAAAAAACATTCCTGATTTTACTACGGGCAAGTTTTGTTGTGGGGGAATCCAATAAGTGGGCGGAAAAACGTAAAATCTTTACTGTACAGATTTCAACTGCATACTACCAACATTTTAAATTTTAAATATGTGGGAACCCTAAAACCTTTAGTTGTAAAACACAGTCGTTCATTTACGCACGGCTTACATAAAGATTGCCTCATTATATTATGTGCAGTGCCCCTCTGACGTGAACACAACACGATTAGCACAGCGCACCTAGCGCACAACAAGTGACAATTATTCATTGTACAAATATTCAATTTTCCTGTTTTCTTGGCTTCCTATCAACGTTTAGCACTTCGGTACGCAGTATTGAAGCATTTGAGATTTGATAAGCAATAAGTACTTTAGCTATGGATGCTCATAGTTTCAACAGCGTGGAGTTTCAATTTGATATGCCTTTAACCTTCACGCTGCAGTCTTACTGCCACATATTTGTATGTAAATTGGCGGCAAATAATGCCCACAACCGATTATAGTGTTGTGACTGACATTGTTATGTCGGCAAGTGAAGGCTCTGATTGAATGATTACAGGGTCTTAGACACTTTACCGACTGGATACAATACACAGGGAGTTTGCTCCCAACTATAAAAATGTTTTATTGCCAAATACTTAGTCACTACTACGTCGCGTCAGTGCATTCCATTTTTATGTTGTTTCATAATATCCGACCGTAAAATTACTAGGTAGCGTAAATTGGTGTTTCGAATATTATTATGATTGTTGTCTTGCCAAATTCGCTTGGTCATTTTTATGGGCTCATTTCGATGTAGGTCGCTATTATACCTGCAGTCAATTAGAGACAAATAGACCGTGGTATACCAAATTGTATCAACACATAAACAAAAATACTTTCGAAACTTAAAATACAATCGTGCAAAACCACAAAAATGTCATTTAATAATATTTTTTGTGTGAGAACTTTAGTTTTATATGCAAGGGTGAACACGGTATTCAAAGATGATTTTCTTTTAGGACTTAATCAGTGAGCTGAAGAGCGAGCTGACTGGCAACTTGGAGAATGTGATCGTGGCCTTGATGACCCCCCTTCCCCACTACTACGCCAAGGAACTGCATGACGCTGTCTCCGGACTCGGCACTGATGAGGAGGCCATCATTGAGATCCTCTGCACCCTCTCCAACTACGGAATCCGTACCATCTCGGCGTTCTACGAACAGCGTAAGTTAACCTCTAGTTACAACTATCTAAAATTCTTGATTTTATTTCCACCGGAGATTTTTTATGGGACAGATGAAATTAGGAGAGTTCACAAACAGACGAATAACCTTATGTTGAGTAATGAGTGCCCCTGATGGCCACTTGCAGCACTAGTGGAGTTACAAGTTTGCCGACGTTTTGGGGACTTTGAGCCTCGGGTAACCTCTCACACGGTAACATGAGCAAGCGTTGTTTCATGTTGGTTTTATATGAGACCATGGTATCGTAACATCTAAAAAATGGGATCTGTAAGTAACGAAAATAGGCAAGCCCACAAGCACACACAGATGTTGGTGTTGGTAGACCGTGGACATGAGAATGCATTAAAATAAAATCCAAATTTGTGTGTTCTCATCTTAGAGCCTCCATTTTTATAGCTCTTACGTTGTCTATAGATAGACTGTTAGTTCACTTCAAAGGAATTCCATTGCTCTGAATAAGATAAAAAGGCAAATGAAACATAATGCTGTTTATGGTAATCGGACCAACAAAATCACAAAAAGACAAGAACACCTAATTTTGAGACTAAATCCAACAGACAAAAAATAAAAGAGGATGTTTAAATTCTTCGAAATATTTTATTTTGTGACATCTCCTTAGCGGTCTTTTACACGTGTTGTGCCCGAAATAAATAGTGATGCCATTTTGCATTTAAATAATAGACCATTATGTAGGCACTCATTATAAAACGAAGTTAATTCGTCACAAATGAGTGATTCATAAAATTAATTAAATGAATTACATCACAATGTACTTTTAATACGTACTGATTTTATAAAAATAGTTACTTCTATCATAGGTTGTCCTCATTTGCAATTTAAATAGGAATATTTTATAAGGACACTTCCATGAGCCGGCCACGCATGCAAAGGAATATTTGCTTACGTCACCATTCGTGACAATACGACCTGGCTGCCAACGAAACTGAATGTCACACAACAATACATATTTAATGAAACAAACGTTGCGTTGTTCAATTAATTATTTATTATAGGCGCAGTGATAAACGCTGTTAGATTAAAAGTCCCACTAATTATTAAAATACAAAATAAGTATTAGAATAAACCTTGATATGGATTTAATTAATACAATGTGTTTAGCACATGAAAATAACCAGAGGAGATTTTTTGTATCTTACTCTATTACACTGTATATTTTTATGTTATTTGTTCATTAAATTTTTTTATTATATCATTTATTTTCTCGCAGTGTACAACAAGAGCTTGGAATCAGACCTGAAGGGCGACACATCCGGCCACTTCAAGAGGCTGTGTGTATCTCTATGCATGGCCAACCGTGATGAGAACCAGGGAGTAGACGAAGGTGCCGCCAAGGCTGACGCGGAGGCGCTGGCGTCTGCCGGTGAAGGCCAGTGGGGCACTGACGAGTCTGTCTTCAACTCCATCCTGATCACACGCTCTTACCAACAACTCAGACAGGTATGACACAAAAACATATCTACTCTTAGAAAAATAATAACATCAAAATCAAGTCAACTCGAGTGTCGAGTGACTCCATAAATAATATTATGATCTCAAAGTCAATATCTACGTGAGTCAAATTTTGATCAAACTTACATATACACGAACGTCTCTGCTCTTTCGTTGATCGAAATTTAATCAGGAGTAGGTTTGGGCTTGTATCTATCTTCACGTTGACGTAGGTAATAAATTAGGCTAGGCTATTGAGGCTACCAGAACACGCTTGACACGGTCATTCTGTGGCCATATTGAGAGCCAGGGTTGGGCCTAATGGAGAATAACGTAGATAAACATTTACGCATAGCCAAACCCGGTTATGTGTAGATACACAATATCGACATCAATTCGTGAAAAGGGTAAAAGAGTTAGACTGTTGAGTTAATGAGGCCATAGAGTTAAAACTTGGCTTAGTACTTCCTCTATAAAATACATTATTGGAAAGTGCAGTTCTATTGATTTTTAATTCGTTTGGTTTCTTTTCTTATAGCGTGTTAGTCACACCTGAATAAATTTGCAAAAAATGCAATTATAACGCTAGTTTTACGCTAAGCTGTCTGAAATGGAAATTTTACCCAGAAACAATTTGCGTTACACAACAGTTTTGGCTCTAAGTATGCATTATTTATTCATGCATTTAAGTGTGGCAGTCTGGCACAACCTGAGAACAATGCTTTTGTTATAGGTATAGATCGAGAGAAGTTGAATTTTAAACACTTAAATTTAGTGTGAGACGACCGATATTTGTGTGTCTATCGATTATTCCGTTGTTGACATCATAGTAGCTATAGTTACACGAGGTTCTGAATTCCAGACGACTGATAGTGATTTATAATCCAGAAACATCCTTGAATGTCTGGTTTTAAAATGTGAGATTAGAAAACATCTATTTCTTTTTGCATTAGCCCGATGTCTGAGCACTACTATATATACAGTTCTAGATAGATATTATGTCTTTGATTACTTTATGAGTCATTAAATCTAGAAAGGCCGATACAATTGAGCCGCCAGTTAGCAATCACATTCATCAATTACTCCAGTCTAGTCTGACGCACGATTGTAATTGTCAAATTACTCGCAGATCTTCGCTGAATACGAGGGATTGACTGGCAAGGACATCGAAGAAACCATCAAGAAGGAATTCTCTGGAAGTATCGAAAAGGGCATGCTTGCTATCGGTGAGTAGTCTACGAACGACAATATTTTTTTGAATAACATTGTTACCCTGATCGAAGGGTATATGAAAAAAACTTGTAAATCATTGTACATATTTTAAAACAATCGTAACGGAGATTTCCTTCCTCCCTTGGCTTTGAAGAAACTTCTACAATTTGAAACTAGTCCACAAAATGGCTGGCATTAGGTACCAAAAGATTCTATTAGTCACCTCCATACAATAGAGAAGGTCATGTAAGAGGAAACTAGTTGTGCGGCCTTGTCCAATCATTCAACTTTTTGTTCAAACACGGAATTATGTTCCACACTCGTAACGTTCTCATCAAATCCAATTAACTTGACACTTCTAAACAAAAGTATCAGTTACAATCTGACCTTATGTCAACATGAGCACTTTTGTTTTAGACGCTTGTAGTTAGTGGAAGGAAAACTAATGCCTTTCTTTTAAGAACGGTAGATTTAAGTTCATGGAACATTCTTGATATTTTTCCTATCATAACATTTTGATTTTTGTAAGGGAGCGTTTAACTCCTGACAGAGACGAATAATTTATTTGACCCCCTTCAGAGATTTGGAGATTACCTTATTGTGAATCACGTAGGAACACACGAGAAATTTGATTAAAACTGCTAAAATTTTCTAGTAAAATGCGTGAAGAGCAAAGTGGGCTTCTTCGCTGAACGCCTGTACTACTCGATGAAGGGATTGGGAACCAACGACAAGACCCTTATCAGAATTGTCGTGAGCCGCTCTGAGATCGACCTTGGAGACATCAAACAGGCCTTCCTTGAAAAATATGGCAAACCCCTCGAAAGCTGGATTGCTGTAAGTCACTTACCCTATTCATTTAAATTCGCTTACATTTGGGAACCATTCATTCCGTCAATTACCTGAATTCATATGCAAATTGGGATTTTATGGTTTATCACAGCATCCATTTGCTTCAATTGACTTTAATTGGTGTCTCTAAAGAACACATTTTTCAGACATAATATGACCTCTCAAATCAGACATAGCTATTAACCCAAGTTAATTGAAGCCGATGCGCCAAAATGTTTCTTTTATTTTGTAAATTATTGTTAGATTCAATGTTACTTTCTTTCCAATTTATTTTTATTTATGTTTTATATGTATAGTGGCTATATTACCAACCCCATATAACATTTCAAAATCTAACATTCAATGAAATAAAAGACGATCCATAGTAACCTCTCATTACTTATGATCAACGTTACAATTCATATCTATGACCACAAAACAATCGCACCACCCGACCCCATCGTCCATTTATTGTTATCTTCATTCACTATATTATTATATACACTGTCTATCTGTGTATAGTATCAAATACCTATCTACTTGTATACTAACAGCACGAGTTTTTGTGGTATTTCTCAATTTTATGAAACTGACCCAATATTTATGATTTGTGAAAGAATTTGTCACGTCTGAGCTTAACTAAAATACTTTACAATGCGCATGTGGGGTGTCTAACGTGTAGAGCCACTCGAGTAATGTAGCTAAACGCTCTGCCGATTACTATATTCGATTTCATCTAATAACTAAAAATACATTTAACAGATTATACAGATCTATTTATAGTATCTATGTCAAAGAGATTTCAACATTATTTATTTCGTTTTATTTTTAGTGTGAGTTTTTTTTCGATTTGTGTTTCCGTGTATCTGCTAACAATGTGTTCATCAAAGGTGATAAAACAATTGACTAAAATATATGTCCTGATTATGATAGACTTGTAGAATAGTGGCCCATTTTGGTTACAGGATGACACTTCTGGAGATTACAAGAAGGCTCTGTTGACTCTTGTTGAATAGATTGAGAATGTGGTCACAAGGTGTCTCCGGGCAACGATTGCGTTAACCACCTATCTCGTTACTATAAGTTTGTCTGTCAATTTGTTAGGTTACGAAGTGATCTGTTAGGGTACGGGCACACTGACGACTCTCCCGCCCGATGCTCAATGCACTACATCTCTCGAGGGCCGTGTACTTCATCCCAGCGGTCAGTTGAGTCTTCAGCGTGCCATATCTTTAGGTTATCCTCGTCAGGAATAAGTTTTATTAAAATGATCTGTATATTTTGCTTCCTATTAGCCTTACTCACGTTCATATAATATCCTTTGCACTGTAGCTAACTGCTTCGTGTCGTGTGCGTGCATGAGGGTAGCGGTACACGTTGGCTCGTGTCCCTGTGTCTCAGTTTTACAAGTAGTTGTTACAATTTTTCAGGAGGAATTAGGAGGACATCTCGGTGATCTCCTGTCGACACTGTGCTATTAAAGCTTCACCAATCCTAACATATAACACTCAGTATTACGAGCGTCTTGTCATGTGTGTGATGCTGCAGTGTGAAGTTATATTTTAATCATAATAATAAGCGTGTCAGCACACACCGAGTACAATCACCTATGTTGCATTTTAAAGACATTTATTTTATTTTATATTACAAAGGAACGTGTTAGTATCGTTGTCAGATAACTATGTTTATACTTAGGTATAATATTATATTATTTTACTTTACTTGCTGTGCCCTTTTTTGTCTCACCTAACACCTTAATCTAACCAGTGAACAACGAACATTTCTTCAACAAATATAATTAAACACAAAACTCGAATATATTGTTCCTGAGTTAGATCTGCACAAGCTGTCGGACGATGCATTTTATACATTTAAGATTTATTTTTGTGATAACATTTCGAATATTTTTTGTGAATAAAAAATCATAAGTATGGGCCAGTTTCTCTTTATATTTAGTGCAAACTGCGCAAGCGGTAGATTCATTTCGGTATTCTTTGCAGGATGACCTAACGGGTGACTTCAGGAATGTGCTAGTCACACTTTGTGCTTAATCCTGCAGAATGAATTATATTTTTTTATTAAAGATATTATTATTTTTATACACGTAACTGTTTGGCTTGGCATGCTATTTTGTCGAAGTAATCGAACTAAGCTAACGTTACAAAGTACAATGTAATAATTTGCAGGACGATACGAAAGGCGACTACAAACGCGTGTTACTCACTCTAGTGTCGTAACTCGTAGAGAACGCATAATACAACGCGATGAGATCCTACCGGGTACTTCTGTAAACTTGCTACTGCCTTTACATTGTATAACTGTTGAGATGTTTTAGAAATTGAAGCTTGAATATTTTGTGAAAATGATATATTTATTGGTGCTCTAGTTTTGTTTACAATATACACAATATTTACATTAATTATTAATTAAACTACTATGTATGTTGGTGCATGTTTCATTCAGCGTCCCTTATTCCTTCTTCGGTGATCTGGAAAACAAAACTATGAAAGGTAAGTAATAATTACAATTTAAATTATTAACAGCACATACTTAACAACAGGAAAATTATATTATCTACCTACCTGTTTTAAAATATCCACTCAATATTATTTGCAAAAATGTGTCAAAACTGCAGCTGGCCTTGTTTGAGTATATTTACGTACTCGATTTTTAACAAGCATCGCTAATATTGTCATGGATTAATCGTGTACCTATACCGTATGTACAGTACACACATCACTACATACAAAATTCTTGCGTTAGTAGCGTTACTAACTAACATACAGACAACGCAAAGCGGAATAATTAGCTCCCGGTCGTAGAAAGCAATGAAAATTGGCTAATTGGGGAGTATGGGAGAGCACTAAGGGAAGATATCCCGAAATTCTTATGGTAAAGGCATCCAAAAATTAGATCTTTATACGCGTATAAAGCCACGAACAAAAACTAGTAAGACAAGATCGTGGAGAATTTGGCATGATGTCAAGTTGCGTCGGTCATTACTAGGAAAGCCCCTGTTTACTGGCGGCGGTCCAACACGCTTATCAATGATAGCAAATATTGATTCGAGCTTTTAGGTAGGTACTTACGACATTTGGGTCAAATAGCTTCTTTTATGTAGGTATACCTACAATATTACTATACTCTACCAATGGCTTCTGACGTCTTTGTTTCGTAATAACGTAGGTATTTTGATTTTCTATTTTTATATATATATATACATAGGTATGTAAACATGGATCCTTTTTTCCCTTGGCCACGTCATCACGCATGAATGGCTGGACCGATTTCCCTAATTCTTTTTTGTTGTATTTGTTATTATTAGAAGATTCTTATGTAAAAAAAAGAGATATTTCCTTCAGGCTGTACGAAGTTCGCCGGGTCAGCTAGTGCTCATATAAAATCTTTCAAAGATTACATGGACTTATACCTTTATCCGAAAAAACCAGTTGATTCGAGATAGACACATCACTCAATAGCAGACTAAGACACCTTCACAAAGTGCAATTTGACCATTTTAAAATATTTAAAAATAACCATTACATTAGCACTTCATTTAAATATGACAATAGACAATTCCGCAAATTAGACTAATAGCCGAAAAAAATTTGTTGTATGATGTAACGCGTTCATGATTTCAGCCAAATGGAATGCGAGAATGCAAACGTTTTATCTTACACTGACTATCTAAATTAAAATATGTACGGTTGGTTCCGACGCCTGATATTTTAAATATTTATTATAGAGAATATGAATATATAATGAATGAAAAAAGTAAGCATGGTCGAGGCCACCCAAACATTGAGTTTGTCGACAGAATGAAAGCACGTGCAGAGCTTGCAAAATGAAATGTGTTTATAACAAAACGTTGGAAACATGTAAATTAATTTTAACGTATTTTCAAACGTTATTAGATTCTCTGGTTAATGTTGAAGCGTACATTTTCACGGTTGGAGTAATTTTTTGGTACCTACCTATACATAGATAAAGTGGGTATTTAGACATTGTGTTGTTATTATCTTTTTCGGCTTGGCTTATGAAACTAGTCGAGTTCCTCGTCAAATAGTAATAGGGTAGTTTTCAGTGTAAGAAAATTCAAAATCTAATTAGTCCGTCAGTTAGATAATAAAAAAATATTAGACACTTATTTTTTTATTTTCTCTTATAAAGTTACAATACTTCAATAAATAGGCGTTAAGTTTAGGAGTGGGAGGTAGTTAGGTCATAACGTGGTACATTTTGTAGCACGCTGTGACGTCACGCGACATTTAAAATCAATAAAAAATATAAATGCTTTTGACGATATCAAAAGCATTTAATTATGTGAGAAAAGAAAAAATACGTATCTAATGTTTCAAAATAATTTACCAGACGGACATTAAAATAAAATATTGGAAACTACCCTATTATTTGAGTAAGCCGAGAAACATAATAAGTACCTATCTAATTAATTTAGTATGTCTCATAAAAGTTATAATATTTTGTGTTGTTGTTTAACGTCAATAATTTTTCTATTTTTAGGTACACGTGCATGTAATCTCGAGAAAACATTTTTGACTGTAGGCCTGCTGCAAAGTGCACAATGGACGATGTATGACTGTGTGAATTTGTATGTTAATCTAGTCTAGTGGCGGAACTACAGGGTGGCAAGTCGTCAAAATGCCACGGGCCCCCAGCTCGAAGGGGCCCAAGTGTTCAGGGGTTTATATCTGAACTTATGTTTTTTATTTAAAACGGCGCGGCGTGGCCCATCCTTTGTATTTGCCACGGGCCTCGAACGGTATAGTTACGCCACTGAGTCTAGTTATAAAAAACGTTAAGTACTTTATTCTCACCTTAAATCTAGCAACAGTACTCGGCGCAACATTACTCTTGAGCAATAAGGCGAGTCTTTCAGTGGGGTCCTGAGTTACTTGTGGGGTGCTGAGCAGGAGACGGACGTTGCAGCGATGCGCCCACGCATCTCCCAGTGAACCAACCACAGCACCGCCTGATAAACCCACTCTGGTGCTCATCTCGTTTGATAACACTACCTAAGTAACGAGTCGAGTAGTAAGTAAAAATATTAACATCTATTGAGTGTCTGTATTTGAGACAGAGTAGAAAATACATTTTCAATTTCGACTGCCTCATGACTGCCTCATTAGCCGAGTAGAAGTGGGTGTTACATTGTATAGTGGCATTAAGTGCCATAATGTACACTTTTGCCTACCGCTTCAGGGATATAAGGCATGAAGTTATGTAGTTTGTTTATTTGAACGGGCTATTCTCTATTTGAGACATTATTTTATGTGTTGAATAATCCATTTATGGAGGAAGGCTTTTTTTAAGGGGGGAAAATCATCGAATGATTTCTCCCGCCTGGGTGAGGCGGGAGTGAGTGTCACTCTTACTGACTAAAAACCACCCCGTTCCTACTTCTGTACGTCGAGCTGGAGCCCCGGTATCCCGTTAGGTTCGCCGCGACTCCGAATCATCGAGGAAGGCTAGAAAACAGAGTTCGGCAATGCGAGTGAAGAGTGCAGAAGTAGCTAGTAACTAATAATAGCAGATATGTATTATTGCAATTTCGCAGAACAACAAATGAAACTTACAGCAACTTGATATTGTACTGCAATCCTTTGTAGTTCTGCCATCTGTCTGAACAACAGTCCAGTTCTTTGTTTTGTTGATATGCCATCTTTGAAGGGGTACGCTATTGAATCTATTGCTATCAATTTTATCTGTAAGAAAAGTCATTTTTATGAGTTAACAATCCCCAAGCTAAACCCCCGGTGACCACTCTCCACTAATTCCATTATAGACCTTATTTCTGATGTTTAGAGACTTCTTTGGTATTAAAATTTTTGGGGATTTTCAGTATGATTTACCAAAATATTAAAGGACAAACAAGCCACAGTAATAATCGGCACTACCTATTGCCATCTATAATACAAGAGGAGTTCCTGTCAGCAGGTTTTGGAGTGGAGAGGTTTCTAAAAATAAAACTGTTTTATTTTTAGTTAATAAGGGGTTGTTGTATGGCCACTGTCTTGCCTGTATCCGATCCTTTTATCCAAGTAGGCTTATGAAGTCAGATTGAGATATCATGATTAATTTGCTATATGGCAAGGGGCTAAATTTAATTTATAAATCAGGCAAAACAATTTACTGAAAGTTTTACCTTAAATGTGATGTTATGTTATGATGTTATTTTACCTTAAAATGGGGCCATTTTAAGATGATGAATATGAGATCATGAATAGATGTTGGAACATTTTCTCAACATTTATTAAACTGTCAAACACCAAGCGGTACTTGACAAGTTAACCCCTCATCTGAATCTACTCAGAGCCTGTGTTATCATATTGCTTTTTATTTTAGTTTTCATTCTACAATCATAAGTACTTTTATTTTGAATATTATTTGAGAATTATAACTAAAGTAATAACAAATGACTTACATTAGGATGTGCTTCTATAAACTTAGGCAGTCTATACATGAATGCGCAGAACTTTTCAAGACCGAATGCATTGACATAGTGAAGTTTACTCAAAGCTTCATCTTCAGTCATTTGTAATGGCTCACCCAGTATGGTCTGACATCTTAACAGACTTGCACTTAGGATTTCTAAAAGAAATGAAACACAATTCAAGGACTAAAAGAATATAGCAATTTTGTTTTATCATATTGTATGTAAAGTGAGATTACTTGTCGACTGTTTATTTTTTTAATACATTTTGGATTAAATTTACAGTACAGTAAAATAGCTATAAGCAACACGAAAAGTTATTTTATTACCTCTAAACCTAGTTATTGTAAAGTTAGTATTTGTGTCTATGTATAATGCCTCTGCATTCAATCCACCAAGCAGCTTTGGTATTTGTACTGATGCACACAGTTGTAGGCTGGAAAGAAAGACAGAAGGAAGAACAGATTGCTCACTTAACATAATATTAGGAACGAAGTCCTGCATTGGTAATGTAACTAATTAGGTACTAACCACAATTGTGTTTTACCAGATCCTGGTAAACCTAGCAGCTCTGTAATACTGCCAAGCTGAAACCCATTGGTTCCTAAGATATTGTCCAAGCTTTGGCTGAAAGATACAACGGCAGGGAGGCTTGTTTCTTTCTAAAATAATGTAAATTGAAATAAATAAACAAATGTACTTATTGAATATACTTTTTTCGTAACATTGTAATAATTAATCACCTGCCACAATTCTGTCGTATTAGATATCTTGAATGCTTTCATATTGTATTGTAGTATTGTGCAGAAACAAAATATAAACTTCTAAAAACTTTTAACTTTTTCAAAACATAACTTTTCCCTCCATTGCAAATAAATAATCTAATATAATGTCAATGTCACCAAAACATAGATACGACAAATTCGTAAGATTGTCGAGAATACTATCCACAATTAATGTTCGGTGCTGTGTTCGATCATCTGTAGTCTGTGTATGTCATAATTACTGAACGTCAACCAAATGTCAATTGTTAAATGTCAAATTGACGTTTATTTTGTAAGCAAGTTCGTTTCAGCTTTTATAAGATTTAAAGAAAATAAACAATAAATTAATTAGAGGGTAGATGCTAATAAATCTCGAAGAAAATGAATCACAATCAAATGAATATGCATGTGCCAATGAACACCGTTGGTGGGACCCCGAATGTGGGGATGCAAATGCCTGTACCAGGCACAATAATGCAGCAGCAATCACCTCAGCAAATGCAGCAGCCTGCGATGCCCCAGCAGCCACAACAGCAGGACAAAATGGACAATATATCAAGAGTTAAGACTCTCATGGGATCACTCCGGGAATCGATTCCCGTAAGTTCATGAAAAACATGTCCTAATAATACATCTAACTTCACCAAGAATTCAGCTCCCTGAGTGCCTGACTGACATTTTGTCTGTTCTTTTCAGATGACTCTTAAGTCTGCGGCGCAGATTTTACACCAGAATCATAATGTAGATTCAAATTCTCAGTAAGTACTGTCAAAATTTAAATAATGACTGATATATCTTCATACAAAGCATACACTTTCATCATCTCATGTGTAACTTGTATAAGTACTACTACTATTAATAAAAACAGATATATGTGCGTATCAAATTATGATAAAAGAACTCACAACAATGTTAAACTTTTACACCTACTATTATGTCTGAATGACGCTAAGGTTGACTGTTAGGGAATGCTACTAGGCCTTAACTCCACCATTGTAAATTGTGCAAATAAATAAATAATTAATTGTACAAATTTCAGCGAGAGAGCAATTTTCTGATTTTTTACAATTTTCTACTTTTCTAATTTTCAGAAAGGGCATTGACAACCCAGTACCAAGATTTGACAAGAACTTAGAAGAATTCTTCTCGATTTGTGATCAAATGGAGCTGCATCTGGTAAATAGTATTTCATTTACTTTATTTTAGTAAAAGAAGCATTAATTGAACTTATATGTATGTAGGTCTTTATTAATATTTCACTTGGTGGTGCAATATACTGCTGGACTATATTTAGCTGTGGACAGAAACAGACCAATAATGATCATATAATTTATAATATCGGTATCTACAGACTATAATAAATGTTATGTACTAATACGACAATAATAGTCACCAGAGCGGCTGTAGCCAAATGCCATTTAACCCATAAATTACCAAGCGGTCACCGGTGACCGCTTTCCACTAATATTACATTACATTATAGACCTTATTTCTAATGTTTAGAGAATACTTTTGTATGACCAAATTTAGGGGATGGATATCAACGGGTTAACACTTGTCTATGTATAGAATAGAAAACTAAATTATATGCAATTGACATAAATTTTTACACTTGTCAGTCTCATCCCCATACATTTAGTTTTCTACTCTCTGTACAAGCGTTAAAGTGGCTTTTGGCTAAAAGCACAGGACTGTCAGTACACTTTTGTGGCGACACATGACACATATCACATGACAGCTCACCCACATAGACCAATAGACCATCAGTGAAAACAAGTCAATGTACGACGTCACATAAGTCCTACATTGAACATGGGATTTTTACATGATGATGAACACGAGTAGATAATCCAAATGTACAACTGTTGGGCAGAAATCCCACTGGACAGGATCACCTCACCTGGTTGGAGGATCTTCCTTTTCCGATCTTAGGGAACCCTACTCACTGTTCCCTAAACTTATATGTAATATAGTGGTTCTATGTAACAATATTTGATGAGAAGACAGAGTCAGATAATATACAAAACTGTTAATATGAATTAAAAAGAAATACACAATTTTTAGGCTAGGAAGAAGTAACTTCATTAACAGGGGTTTTTCTTTTACTAAAAATAATAAAAAAAAGTCTATCGATACCATAATTAGATGTAATGTAATAAACAGCACTCATTAATTAGTATATAGTAATAATTAATTAATATTGTATTCAACTATTTTTTTTTACCGTAACTTCAAGAAGTTCTTATTTGGGGTTCTTCAAGAAGGGAGTAAATAGGTTTTTCAAGGGTTGGTAAGGCGCGTGTAATGTTCCAAGTGTTGCAAGCGTTCATAGGCAATGGTAAATACTAACCATAAGGTGGGCCGTGTGCTTTTTTGCCACAGCGCACCGTCGTAATATTAAAAAAACTTTAGTATTCTACTAAATCTTAAATCTACTAAATCTTCCCTTTTTCTAATTTACTGCTGGCAACTTTTTAATGCTACATACTATTGTTACTTCTTTTTGACCTTATTTAACATTACCAAAAAAGGGTACAAAATCAAGAAATTTCTATCAGAATCTAGGAATAAACTAGCTGTTACAATGTTTGCAAGTTAAAGTAAATATTGTGTATCTATGTCCAACAATTAACTTCTTGACCTGGCAACCATTGGATCGGCCAGTCTAATCACTGTTAGTATTAATTCCTTATCAACGATGACTTTGTGTGACTCCCTATTGGACGTCAACACCATTGCGTACACAGGGTAGCTGTTGCTAACAACTATTTTTGCACAACCAGCCGTGAAAAAGAAAAATAAAAAGATCGAGCTTTTTTATTTATTTTAGTTTTATAAATAATGTTTTAGTTAAATGAAAAGTTTAATAAGTATCATAATGGCTTGATAGTATGATACTTCTTCTAAGTACAGCTTTTTTTTTATTTTTTTTTATATATTTAGAAATGTTACCTGAAATACTCTTTATTTGTGTAAAAATATGTATGTAACTATGTTTAGCTGTCTTTACAGCCCACATTATTAATAGATTGCCCAATTACCAACCCCATCTCCCTTTCCCCAATCCCTAAATCCCCAACAATCCTTAAATTCCTAATTCCAAAAGGCCGGTAACGCACTTGTAATGCCTCTGGTTGTCCAAGTGTCCATGGGCGACGCCGATTGCTTACCATCAGGTGATCCGTCTGCACGTTTACAGGCAAATACCACAAAAAAAAAATTACGCCGTAATTAAAATTGGAATTCAATAAAATTATATTTCTCACAAATAAATAGAATTAAATAGATACCTAGTGCAAAAATATTTCCATTCAACTAAGTTTTGAGCGGGTACATACATACATGTACTATAGGGACTTGTATACTAAATCAACAACCAAAGTGATTTCAATGTGATGATCATACGATCATGATACATTGTAAACAGAGACATTATCACTTGATGTCCATGATGTTTACCTTCATGCATATCCACTGTTAAATGGAGTAGGATGTTAAATGGTACATAGTTTCAGGGTGTTATTGTAACCTAGGTCAGTCATTCAGTGAAATAATAATAATAATGTATTATCTGATGTTCTGACGTTTTGATAAGTAAAGAGATTAATGCTAAGTGTATTTTTATTGTTGAAGAAACAAGAGTCATAGGTGCGTTTTATTCTTCTTGCGAACAGCACTTTGTGGGTGTTGGTACGTATCGGCAGTCAAAAACTGTGCTTAATTAGACCTTTGTAAAATTCTTTGTGTCATTGTATATTTAATACGTCTGACATCAGGTTAACAAGTTCTCCATCATCATCTGAAAGACGTCCATTGCTGAACAAAGGCCTACTTAGTTCTTCCGGTTGATCGACAGCTCACCACTTGCATCTAATATCTCCCGACGACTCTAACAATATCGGCGGTGCACTTAGTAGGAGGTCTGTCCCAAAACTGTCTTGAATTGCTTTCACAAGTTGCTAATGATTATTTTTTTCATATTTCTAGAGGACTGCAATAACGTGCATTCAACAAGCTCAGTCGGCAGCGCACTACCTGCCTATGACCGTCATGCCGTCAAGGTTGGACACTGGACCGGCCACCACGGTAAGGATACGATTTAACTATCATGGTGTTAAATTTAGATTAGATTTTTTTAAGTGGTAATATATAGTGGTAATAGTCGGATCACTTAATTGCGTAATGGTCCACCTTGTACACAAATATGTGCATGTAGCCTTTTGCAATAAAATAAAATAACATAAAGATAAACAATCGGCGTCGCCTATGGACACCTGTAACACGGAACATACCTGACTACTTGACCTGTGAGGGTTAGGGATTTGGGGAAGGGATGAGTGAGCTCCAGTAACCTCTCAGCCACAGCGAAACACGACGCAAGTGTTGCTTCACGCGGATTTTTGGTGACGCCGTCTGTGGTATCATTCCGGTCAGTTAAACGATGGCCAATAAAGTCAATGACTTTCCAACAGCTGTCATCAGTTTCAGAGTATATTCCCTCTGTCCCGCACCCTAAAGAGTTTTAAACAATCTAAATCTCTAAAACATAGTGTTTTAAAATAGACCTCCATTATTTCTATAAAACCTGTTAACTCCTTTTTTAAAGTAAAAGCCACAGAGCGCTACCTACCACGGTCCTTGCGCACATTGTTTCTATCTCATTTACGCATCTGGCCATAAAACGATAGTTGGGAAGTAGGTAGGTACTTCACTGCTATCTTATAAACAAAAGATGATAATTACCTATGATATCAGTTTATGCATTAGACCACCCACATCATCATAATTTTATTGCCTTCTCAATGAAAAACTATTGAGTACATACATTACGTATTCCAATACCTGTGTGTACTTACTTTACAAAACTTAAAACAAGCCATTACCTACAAAAATACCTAATTAATAATTTACTTGTAACGACTAATTTCTGCAGAAATGCACGTTGTAACTCAGACCCTATTTTATTATTTTTTTATTGCATCGTACTCTCTCTGCACGCATCGCTCATATGTTGACCTTTGTTTTGTACAAATAATAAATTGCTTAAAGAATAAACAGGACGTGCAAAACCTTGAAGTCTCTCGCTTTCTTGCAATCAACAGACAAGGGGTAAATTCCACGCTTGAATAATTATGTTGTTGAGTTGTATAACCTTCGCCCTTTTGCCGATAATTTCATCGGTAACTTTAGAAGGACATTCTAAGAATATTCGAATGTTTCCACGAATTCATATTGCAAGACATGATTAGATTCTTACGTCTCCATCTTTGCATAGAAATTGGTTGAATTTACTAATAAATTCTATGATTCCGCCACTAGGAGGTCATTTTTTTTTTTTTTATTTATTTATTTATTATTACATTTCAGTACAGTTTAAAATTTCTTATTTGCACCATTAAACCACAGCTGGTTTGTATTGGTACTCACATTCGCTTAACAAGTTTTATGTTATAAATTTATAAACCCATTCAATATGACAATTACGTTAATATATGTGACAAAGATATAACATTTTAGATACGTTAGATATTTTACAAGTAACAGTAAACATCCATGAGCAAAGCATAAACGCACTCATTAAAATTGCAAAGAAACAAAGTACTCAAAGAAACCGATACCGACACACACGGCACTAGCTAATGTTAAACTTTTGCAGTCTACCCCACAATATGCTACATTCGCATTATGAGTTCTCAGTGTGTAACCGGTTCAAATTAGAATTAGAACTATGTGTGTTGCTCAACAAAGAATTTGCTGATGTGCTTTGTCAACGAGTGTGATTTGTAAACAAAATCGAATCCTACGTTAGCGACATCTACTGAGCGCAAAACTATGTATCCTCATCAGAAAACCGACTTTTTACTATCTTAAACTTATTCATTCTTTTCATACCAATTTACCCATTTACCGTTTCTATTGCAGGACACGTCACTCAGTTACCCACAGTACTTGAACACAGTACGGCTGCAAATCACATACGCTAAGGACATACACGACACGCTCGTGGCAGCCGCGCAGAACATCTCGCCCACTGAATAACTGTATTAGCACGTAAGAATAATTATTTTAATTTAATTCTAGTAATAAATTAATACCGATTTAATTTTGGTTTTATTGTAACGTATGAGCTTCTAGTTACTAAGTTGTATGGTTTAGAGTAAAATTTTTGCAGTTAAAGGTCAAAAACAGTGGTATCATATCAATTTGGTGGTCATTAGACCCGACAGACGTTTTAGGTAATCAGCCGGTAGGAGCTGGCTTGAAAAAAAACAATATCGCATTTTAACTGCACTGATAAGCAAGTGACAATAACACAATATACATAATTATTAAGGTGATCATATCACTTATTTCAATTAGACCAGGAAGGCACTTTTGAACGTCAAAACAAAATATTTAAAATATTAAATAATAAGAAAAAATGTCAGTCTGTAGCTCACCCCCTATTACATGGGACTCATAACATAAATAGTGAAAAGTGGGTGTTACATTGTACAGTGGCATTATGTGCCGTAAAATGTAAAAGGCGAGATGTTATGTATATGAAATAAGGGTTGAACAGAAATGTTTTTGTTTTGGTACACTTTCCAAGACGTCTAATCGTGACCGGTGACACGGTGTCATATTAATTAAACCCCAGTTATCTCCTTATGTAACTTATTTGTAAACAACAAGATATTTAAAGGTGATAGAAGGTATTTAGCTCGGTAACTGATAGAAAATAATTTGATTATGTCGCATGTCGATTAAATATATTGACTGCACGGTTGGCACGCAGTCAGTTGTCCAAACTGATTGCCGCGCAACGTGTCGCGGGTTGGATTCCCGCACGGAACAACTCTTTGTGTCATCCACAGATTGTTGTTCCGGGTCTGGGTGTCATTTGTATGTTGTTTATAGACGCATCCACGACACAGGAGAAAAACCTAGTGTAGGACAACGTATTAAAAAAATGTGTTAGTAGATTTGGTAGTGAAATATTTCTAATGCTTCCTTAATTAGAGGATAATTGATAGAAAAAGCAAATGGTGATAAATAGGTGGTACATTGTAACCTTTTCTTTTACCTTTCAAGGAATAAAAAAAAGTTATGTTACGCTATATTATGACAGTCTACGATTGATTTTCGGAACCTTTGCAAATCACCTTAAACTTTATCCTTTAGCTACTACTCTAGGCTAACTAGCCAAATGTAACTACATTTGTCAGTACTTGAAATCGAAATAAAACAAACACACATATAATTAATAAAATATATTAGACTGTAAAATATACGGATACATCAACGGCGAATATTTTAAAATAGTTTTATTCAGATCTTTGTTGCTACATACAAACTAGGCAAATATAGTTAATACGAAATCTCTCGCAAAACTAAAATAGCACGGCGAGACGAAACACGAGTTACAATAGAACATTTACAAGATGGTTTTTCGAGATCATTTTGACAATAGCAACGACAAATAATTGCACTTTTTTCATAATTAATTTATTGAGTAAATAAAGTTACCTACATTCAATCAAAACTTCCATACAAGCCCTTACGCAGTCCTTTCGACGCCATACAATAATTATGTGACTTAGATTACATTAAACGTGAACTATCACAATAGGAAACATAGAATACTATCAGTCTTTATCTTAGAAGACACCAGGAACAGGAACATTTGTTTACTCCAATTTTTATTTATGTACCTGTAACAAAAATACAGAGTTATTAGAATTTTTTAGCTAAAAAACGTTTAACCCGTCGTGTGTCTAAACATGGACCCAAGCGAGACACAATGTATTTTCTATTGTGTTTCATATACAGACATTTAACTCGTCGAGTACCGTCATTATAGACACAATTATAGAACAATAGGTTGCGGTCACCGGTGACCGCTCGGTGTTTGACAGTTTAAGCAGTTGAAGAACAAATATCATAGTATTTACTATTACTGTTACATAGTGGCTTCTAGCATATTTTTAGTATTGTGTAAATACACCTATCTGAAAGTCTTTGGAGAAAGCCACTGCTCCGCTGCTGAACATAGGTCTTGTGGCTGATATAATGATGATGATGATGTGTAAACACCAGCTATCCTTTACCATTTTATTTAGCAAATATTTGAATAATTAATCTACTTAGACCTAAGACTTTTTTAATGGTACAAGCCCGCCACAACCTGCCAAAACCGCTGCAACTCATGTAAGCCAAGATCTACAGTAGATGCAACCATGAAAACACCGGAACACCGAAGTCCGGCGCGTCGCAGGAAATAAATATTAGAAGAAGAGAAGAAAAAACGATAGTTTCCACTACCCTCGGTAAATTACTACAGGAGACAGAATGAATGAAGCCCAAAGGCACAAAAAGAAACTGTGCCACTGGGAGAAGCCCAGTCGCCAAGCATCACGGAAATTTGGCTAAAAACTAACTAACTTAAGACTGGAAAAAATAACAGATGGAATCTATTTTCTTACCGATCTAGATCATTCATTTATTGATTGTTGTTATGAGATTTAACCGCACCCCCGTTAACCTATGACAATATTTAAATCACCAGGAGGTTGAATAACAAGTAAACAGAAAATCAATAATTGAATATCGTCCATAAACAACACAGAATTGCAGAGTATTAGATATCTATGCCGCTAATAATAAACAAGTGTTGCGATGAATAGTGGCATATCGGCATATCAGCCAGTATATTTCCCTGACAACAAACCCTGCGGGGGACTGTAGAATACTGGAAAGGACACATAAATCGATCCTTATCGTACAATAAAGAGAAGCAGCCCTCGCCTTCCAGTGGATGTTTGTGCATCGTGACGTGACCCTAGATAAACTTATTATGATGACATCAATTATGTTCTGTCTCGCTGTGTGCTGTGGAATAATACAGGTTCGTTTTGTTCCTCTCAACTCTAGAAACTCTAATTTAACTGTACGTTTGTTTTATAAAATTTGTTAAAGCCTCCTTTTTATTATGATAAAGGAATTTTAGTTTTTTGTACAGAAATGTGCAGCCTGTGTTTAGAACTCGATTTATTAGTCCTAAATTGTTTTCAACGGAAGTCACCTACTTAAATTATAGTGCGAACTTAGCACAATTTATTGTGACTGGTTTTTGCGAACGTTCTAGACTAAATGCATAGAATATTTCAGAAATCGTTTAGATATGCCTTTGAACAGGCAATTTAACTCGTCGAGTACCGGTTTTGTAGACACAATTATAGAACAATAGGTTGCGGTCACCGGTGACCGCTTGGTGTTTGACAGTTTAAGAACGCAAATAGAAAAAGGATTTTGTCGCCTCATTTCATGGTCATCAATTTTGAATAATTACTTAATTCCTTTTTAACGCATTAGGTACTTTACTTTAAAATAGCACATAACGTAACATTAATAAATAATTTTAAAAAACTCTAAATAATTAGTAAGCCTGTACCAAAATTTTAAACAAGAGTCAGGATAAAAGCTAGTCAAATCATAATAATTAGTATCAATCTAATAATGGCTGTGTTATGTTCAGGTCAATTTGTTTTCTAAAGGTTAATTAGCACTAAGTTTAGAATTTACAATCACGAAGATTCAGTTCATAATCTCATGTCTCTATATAGGAGAATTAGAGGTTTTATTCTGAAGACTTTTTTACCTGCAACGTGTCTAAAGAGGAATAGAGATACAATGTTGTCTTAACGCTCGACCAAAATGTTCATAAAGACTTAGTTTCCACTTCTTAGGGTCAGATTTTCCAACGCTGGCGTTATAAATAAAGAATTAACTGATGATTGAAAAATCGGCCCTCAATCTTATTGCTACAGGTTCTATGCGATATAGCAAATAACACTATTATTCGGTTATTCCGTATAATGTACTTATGAAGCTCAAGACAAAGAAGAATATTTCCCTCTGAATGTACTTAATACAAATTATTTATTTGGTCCGTATAATGGTACCTATGATTGACTGTTAAATAGCCGTACTTACACTTAGTAAGTATAAGTTTAATGTCTTTCTTACTTTTACCATTCAGTATTGTTACCATCCTAAATATCAACCTATGTACTAAGATAGTAGGTACACAGTAACAACCCACGGATTATTGTTATGACATGCAAATAAAATAACAAATAGATATTTGACTAATAGTCGAGATAACTGTATCGCAGCACTTAGCAACAGTTGATAGCCGAGCATTCACCCCCCGCATACTTAATGTACTTACATAATTTACATTATATAAAAAGTAACTTGATATACAGAAACATGTAATTTTTCGCACTGATAGTATTATCACACACTCCCGCCTCCGTTGAAATTATACTGGTGTTGTTTTCATTGCCATAGAATCCAATACGGTCGATAATGATAAACAAACAGACGGAAAGAAAGATATTTTTATACTACAGACCCAATTATTATTAGTTATCGCGGTGGGCGCAAAAAAATAAGTATTTTTGTTGCGCGAGAGTCAATGGTTTGTGAATCATACGATGTCATTGTACCAGAAACTTATGCACGATACTCCACCTTACGATCTGTACTGTAGAGCAAACACTGTAACGTTTGAACTGTAACGTTTTATTGGAAGGTGTGTAGGCTGTATGTACATATATACATACATCCCTACGATTGTACATGTACACTTCGAATGTACAGTTCATACTGCATAGGTAACTTCTTAAACCCGATTAAAAAAATTTGTTCATACAAAAGTAGTCTCTAAATAAATATAAATGAAGACCGGTGACCGCTTAAGGACTGGGCAGTATCGTAACGTGTGTAGCGTGCATTAGAGGCAACTTGAACATTTGAATAAATCATTCGATTATTATGTTTGTCCCTTTGTTACCAGCTGTTTAGAAAACAGCTAATATTCTACTTTACTACTTACACATAGTATTTTTGAGCTTTAGTGACTGTCTTTAAAGTTTTGAATAAAGGAATAAGATACGTCCACGTTTGTCTTCTTTATCTAAACGCAATAGTTTAGTAGCTACATAATGTAACATCAAATTGTAATACACGAACAGAATAAATTAACTATGTTTCTAGATGAAGTTGGTAAAAAAGCTAACCTACATTGTACCTATATATTGTATATTCGCCCCTGCAGATCTTTCCAAAACTACACGCATAGATTTATTATCTGTGATCATAGGTAATCGCAACACGTGCAACACACATTTGTAATTAATTAATTTTACATTCATAATTCAAAAGATAGGCTTATAATACATAAAGTGACGTATCTTATATCTACTAGAGCACATAATAGTTTATCAATGATGACCGACCGGCTCAAGATTGTTAATAGTGCAGTTTCACTACTTATCGCGTTATATCTACAAAATCAATAACTATAATATCCGAACAGCACACTGTTCTTGTTTATCATCTTGTAATCAGTTGTTTATTAGAACTGGGACTGTTCTAGCTATTTCCACGTACACACGGCAACACATCGAGTTTTACATAACCAGTATAAACTGAACGTAAAATGTGCGGAAAGATGATGCGACGCGACACCAGGATAAACTGGTTTTGTATAGGTTGATGTGTGGCCGTGTGTACATACCTAGATGTACTAACTAGGTAGGTATCTATTTTGGTGATTCTATCTTACTTTTATGTATGTATCGTATATATTTAATCGTAAGTATCTAATTTGTAATTCCACGAATTGTACCTAAAACAGGGATATCCAATATCCATACCACCATATCAGTATCAGCTAGTCTTCCTCAAGCGCTATGCGAAATGTGTCGACACCATAATGGTGTGTCCACATCCAGCGAATGTCAGCGTGGACGCACCAACCACTATAGCGGCAGATATGTAATAGAAAACAATACTACAAAAAAATGTTATTGAATGATGTTCGTTCCTGTCAATTTCAAGAAAAACCCACAAGTTAACAACCGAGTAAAAACCCTTTGTGTAACTCAATGTTTCAAGGTAATCGACTATTTATTACTTATTATACAAATAAAATAAGAATTAAATCATTTTCATTAGTACACTGACTTTGTGTTAAGAAATTGTTATGAATTGTGACTCTTAACAGTTTTATCAACACTTTATTACATACGTAAGTCTAATAAATCAGTACCTCTAGTTACTTGTTTTTCTACTTGTCAAGTACCGTGCCTACTTTGTTGCGATTTTACTGCCACCGTAAATCAATGTATATTAATAAGATAACGCATTATAATTGAGTAAAACAAATTATTCAACACGTCTCGGATTGATATCTAATTTTTTTTCATACATATAATTGCTTACATAATTGACATTTACCTAAATGAAAAAATTGCCATAAAGTATTCGTAAGATGCCACCAAATTTTGCTTTTGTTTACATTGCATTCGTGTTCCATTTATCAGTAGTCAGTGGTAGGAAACAAAAGACCTTCGAATTTTAAAAGATGAAATTCAGAATAGATGAAAAAACAACAAATTACATTACCTAGTTCATAGATATTTGAATGTTTTTTTTTGGCGCGATTTTATTTTGCATGCAAAGGTTTCTCAAAACGTCCAGCCTATTCAAGTATAGGGAATTTATCAGTGCTGTGATCCATAACCACATTGTAATCGTTCTCAACATAAAATCCTTGTTATTATTTATAGGTCTCGCTATTTTAATAGACGTCAGATGAGAAGATCGTATTCATTATTATCTTTATACCCTTGACTGCGAACATTTATTTAACTTTAATAACGTTGAACCTAACAAATATTGATCTCATTCGGACAGGGTTGAACAGTATCGAGTAAGTATTGTGTGTGCGATACGTTTGTTATTCAGTTATTTTTAGTCTGTGTAAGTGTTAATTTCAAAAACAAGCTGATAATTATTTTAAAATAAAATTAAAAAGCGGTAACTTTATTATCGCTTGTATTGTCCTTGAGATACTTACTTGTAACACAGAAATCACCTTATTTTTCAGATCAAAACTCTTATAGTTATTAATTTCGAAGGAATATTCCAAAAACAATAAGTTCGATAACGTGTGTTAATAATTTCGGTAAACAGCAAATATAAATGCAAAGACATTTGTTAATTGTTTGATAATGACCTTAACACAATTTTTGAATGCGAAAAGACAAAGCGAGGAATCATTTATGAATATAAACACCTAATGTGTCAGTCTATCAGTATTCACATAAATATAAACATAACAATGAATGCACTGATTTAAAAAAAAACGTCCGAATAAGTCATTCAACAACTAAAATCACTTACGACTACTAGCTACTACAATTAATACTACTTTGTGCTAAAAGGTATAAATTTATTTATTTATTTATTTATTTATTATAACACCTTACAATGTGACATCTTACAGTTTATTCCAATGCAATATCACATTTCCTGACACATTTAAGTCTAACACGTAACTTAATTAATAAACAATTCACCTTAATTATTAGATTTATAAGAGTTACATACTCTCAGTATGACATACATATTATAACCATACAGATTTTTACTATATACCGAGTGGAAATATCTAGCAAAACATTCCGCAGATTCTTCCTCCGTAATCACTAAATTGTCCTTGGTTATCTTGGGTTTATTCCTACGCATTTGTTTAGTTCGAACAAATGTCCAAAATGACCTTGGATCGTCCTTAAAATTTATTTGCAACTTATGTTGATACTCCTGATATGCAGCTGATATTTTACGTTTCACTATTGACCGGTAACGAGAAAACGTTTCGTAATCACTTAAAGATGACGTAATTTTAAATAATTTGTGATGTCTCCATTTTGTCCTAATATCCTTTATTATATCCGACGTGTACCATTCGGGATAAGTCCTCTTATTTTTGTACGATTTACTGGCATTTTTCCTAGGAACGCATAAATTAATACAATTGTTAACTATGTCATAAAAATAATTTAATGCTAAGTTTGAACTTTGCGTGTCAAGTATTTTTTATAGCAATAACTAATTACGAAAACTAATAATGTAACACTTACATGGTTCATCCGAAAACTTGCTGTGCGGCGTACGTGATGTGTAAGTAGCCGTCGTGTGCTCGAAACTGCTCGTACGCCTGCGCCATCGTCATACTGTGACTTGCGAGCACTTTGTCGTTCACCAGCAAATACAACGCCTATGACAATGAAACATATTATTACTTACATAATAAAGTCCTAAGGTAACTAAAGGACAATAGATAGGAACTTAACGACAAAAAGGACAGATTGTGTATTAATAAATGCTACGGAATGCTACGCACGCGATGGTATGATGGCTGACAGCTTACGTAGGCGCGAAGCCGACACTTTGCTACGCTGCACAGCGTAGCATTCGTAGCTCGGTGTAGCATACGTAGCGTGGCGTAGCAATACATTTTATATTTGTTGAGTCGACGTTTGACCACTATCTCGCCTGGTGGTAGGCAATAATGCGGTCTACGATGGAGCACGTCGTTCCATAACAACCTATTCACTCAGGCCTTGAAGACACCCAGGTTATACCCTTCAGGAAATACAGACTCTGGCAAAGAATTCCACTCCTTAGCAGTACGCACAAGGAAGTGATGCCGTAGTAATTTCTTATTTATCTTATTCTATGTAATTCCTAAAATACGTAATTATTAATTGTTTTATAATATTTACCTGTGATTCTCTTAATTTTATCTTTGTCCGTATTATGTAAAGGAACTGGGACATTGTGAGCTCTTGTGGCACTAGGAATTTGTTTCTGCCTAAAGCGGGCACCTCTCGTTCTCTCGAGTATCGCTCCACGTATAGCTGAACATATTTATATATTAATTAGTAAATGGATTACGCGAATCAGTTTCTTTGTGTAAATAAATAAGGTCTGAGAGATATTGAATACACAAAGTCAAGCTAAGAAATATTAAGATAGTAATAAATACTAAAATAATACTTACGGGCACTTTATTTGGAAACCTATGTCTGATGGCCTGAACCTCTTGGTTAGACTGCTTGATATTCATTTCTGTAACAAAATAAACTTATAACTAAATGAACTTGTAACAATATTAGATTAAACCAGAACCTGGGTATTAGTTTACCAAAGACGCAAGAAATACTGTGTCTTGGATATGAAATAACATTATTCCTGCAACAGACTACAACAATGATTTTTTTTGTCTTTGAATTTAGGTGTGATGCAAGCTAAAGATAAGAAAATACAAGACTTGTACTTGTCGGGAACCAAAGAGTATGAACATATATAGATAACTACATATTAACTTTAATAACTTTGTAACACTTTTATCACAAAGTACTTATCACCAAAATGATGGTTTTACTAATCTTTCGGTCATATTTTGGTGGCAATTAATATAAGTTTTCCTTTTCTCTAGGGAGACCTATGTTCAGCAATCGACGTGTCGTGACTGGTATAAAGATCATTTTATGATGATTGCGACAAATCTATATAAATAATCCATGCGTTAGTCTTAATAAAACTCGAGAACGTGTGAACCGATTTGGCTAATTGTAGTCTTGAAATGTTCGCAGAATTCCAGGGAAGAATTATGAGGTGAGAAAATTCTTTTTAGGCGGTTCTAAGTTTGCTGGGTCAGTTAGCAGAATAAATAATTCAAATAGTATTTTAATACCTCACCATCTTTATATCCAAAGACTTCTTGTGACGCGTAAGTGATGTACAGGAACCCATCCTCATCACCATAGTTGTCGTACGCCTGTGCCATTGTCAGGCTCATACTCAGCATTGATTTGTTGTTTATTATCAGATATAAGGCCTGCAACAAAATAATGTTGTTGAAAATATCAATTGTTGTGTACCTTTTTGTTTTATTTAAGGCCAGAGTCCTTAGTACGACTTTGTTTTTCGTTTAAAGTAATCGAAACGAGTGCACGTTCGGCACTCTGATTGGCCGGCTCAAATGAACCAACCAATCAGAGCGCCTTAACCGTATTTTTTTTATAACACTTCTATAATGCGATCTGTGGCCAGTGGGACATTAAGCAGTAGGTTTGTCTATAAATAAAGGTGTGTTCAGGGTAAGGGGTGTTAAGGGCGTGTTCATCCTTTTTAATATTTTTGTGTGTTAACTTCGGCACATTTTGGGGAATCTTTTGTTTCAGCTGAAATTAAGCTCTAAGGTCGTAACTAACAAAATATCGGGCATAAATCCTACTATTCTACCGTTATCAACTTTTAAAGATTGTTGCCACTATAGCTGAACTGGTAATAATAATCGGACAATTCTGAGTAAGAATTTGTTTATTCAGCTATCTTACTTTAACTTGACTATTCATTAGAAGTATGAATTATTTATTCGTATCTTATGCTGCCTCAGCAAATTGTTTATGTCATTTGAAGCAGGTCTAGTTTATGAACTCATCTACTAAGTAATATTATCAATTAATTTATTTATTTATCTGTAAAGCTAATTGATTGATTACGGGATTACATAAATAATACTTTTACCCGTCGATAGCACATAGTTTCAACCAGATCTAACTAGACATTGAATGACTAGATCAAGACCTAGACTTTGGTATCAATTTCTTTAGCATTGTAGATGATACGTGTCATAATTCTCTACGGATTGTTAGGCTAATTGTTTGAACTGTTTGATTGATTCGTCGATTTGTTCAAAGAATAATGATCTTTATTAACCTGTAATACTTACTTGGTTTGGTTTGATTCGTATCCTATTTCGTATTATAACTAGAAACTGTGACATGGTGATATCTTCAGGAACTAAGAACTTTGATTTATCCAACGTTGGTAGATTTCTTTCTTTGTGATATCTTTCTACTATTAGCTGTAAACAAATACACAAATTAATTATTAGAACTTAAATTATGACGTGTTTTTAAAAGCCGTAGTTGCAAAATTTTGCTATATTAATGCTACAACTGATCGTAGCTTATGACACATCATCACGCCTTTTATCCCCGAAGAAATAGGCAGAAGTGCACATTACGGCACTTACTGCCATTGTACAATGTAAGTCCCACTTTTCACTATTTATGTTATGAGTCCCATATAATAGGGAATGAGCCTATTGCCATATACTCGGTACATTTTCAGTCTCCGTGCTACTACTAAGATTTCTTTGAAAAAACCCAGTATTACTTTGCCCGACCCGGGAATCGAACCAGAGACCCCTTGCCCGGCAGTCGCACTTGCGACCACTCGGCGAACGAGGCAGTCGTAGCTTATGATTTTTATTAAACTTTCAGAGCGACCATTAAGCAAGTATTCAAAGCACTAGACAAGCAAAGAAGTATCTCGATAGGTGAACTTACGGGTATTTTGGTGGGGAATTTGTTTTTTATCGCCATTACCTCTTCCTTTCTGCTTACTGTAATGAAATAAACAAACATCACATATTACTTCTGCGTTATTCTCAAAATAACTTAAATTAATTATGTTCTATATACGACATATTCACGTAACTGTTTGACGAAGTAAATTATCGCGCTATTGTATCCATGACTATAGGAGCCCCTGACGTGGCACGAAACTAGTCGCATACTACTTCGTACTAAAGTTGGCGATGAGTAAATAAATATTATATCTATTGTATAAATATAATAATTTAATGATTTAAGTTAAAGTTCGACCGCCAATAACATGAAAGTTCTTTGCACTATTTATCAATGCAACTGCTAATCAACTTTTAACTTTGCTAGAGGTACTTATCTATTATAAAAATTACATAGTACCTCTAAAATAAAATGTATTTAAAGTGGCAAAGGAATCAATTAGTTAGAACCGTTAGGAGAATCCAACAGTAGGTACAAATTAAACGATGGTTTCCGCTCAGAACTTCATCTAAGATGATATTTTATTTAATGCTTTTCTAATTGTATTTCATAGTTATGTTAAAATCACATATTTCATATCTACAATCTACAACACTAGTACGGACGGGCAGAGTCAATAAACATGACGTGATGTCTGACGACAAAAACTTAAGTAAATGTACGTAATGTCAATATTAATATTACCTAATATCAGGGACGTTAGGGAGCTCCGTAACCGAAACTATCGTATACACGATATAAAAAAATATCCGTAACCGTAACCGAATCCGATATAAGTATAAGTTTCGGATACTATCGGATAGGGGTGTGACGTATAAATGAACTCATTATATTAGGTATTTGTATTTTACTTTTGAATTTTTTTTTTTTTCGTTGGGCCATGCCCGCCACAACCTCCCAAAACCGCTGCAACTCCTGTAAGCCAGGATCTACAGTAGATACAACCATGAAAACACCAGAACACTGAAGTCCGGCGCGTCCCAGGGACATGAGTAACTGTCTTGGTTCCCGCAGCGAAGTGAATCAGAAGATATTAGGTATAAGAGGAGAAAAAGAAAAAACGAATTCCACTTTTGAAATTTCTTAAAAATTTTAATTTCCGTCCTCGAAATTATCTGAAACTAACGGATCATCATCATCATCATCAACAGCCTATAAATGCCCACTGCTGAGCAAAGCCTCTTCTCACACGGAGAAGGTTTGAGCATTAATCACCACGCTTGCTCAATGCGGGTTGGCGATTTCAAACTAATAATTAGAAATTATTAGTCCAGGTTTCCTCTCTGTGATGGTTTCCTTCACCGTTTGTCAGTGGTGTCTAAATAATCTTAGAAAGTATACATATAACTCGGAATAAGTCACATTGGTACTTGCCGTTGGTAGGTTCTTGCCGCACCCTCATGCATGAGAAGCGGGCGTCTTAACCTCCGGTCACCACGACTACTAACTAACGGATAATCCGATATAATTTCATACCCGTATCCGTAACCGTATCCAGTATAATAATCATATCTATATCCGTATCCAATCCGTATCCGAAATTTCATATCCATAACATCCCTGCCTAATATCAATTTGATTTCAATATGAAGTTTGAACAATCGTTAAAGCTAAAGGCTAACAACTAACTTTGCTAATTCTATACTTAACTGTATCTCTAAACATGCTATCTTTAAAACTTAAAACTGTGTCATTTGCGATAGTAATTGTATTGAATACCCCAATTTGCTGCCTCCAGTCCAGTCCCAGTCAGTCAGATTAGGTGGAACCTAATCTTTTTTGATGACATTATTACCAATAGGCAACCTATATTTCATATATGATGTGAACTATCCCCAATTAATGGCGTGTTTTTTTAAGGGGAGAATATCATCGAATGAGTCTGACACTCTCTCCCGCCTCACGTAGGCGGGAGAGAGTGTCAGACTCTTACTGACTAAAAACCACCCAGTTCCTACTCCTGCACTGCGAGCCGGAGCCCCGGTTACCCGCTAGGTTCTCCGCGACAAATACGTAGGTATAGCGTAAAATAATCCATTTTTTTAGATTATCTAATGCCCCGGTAACGTGCTAACTCTTGGCATTAATGGCGTGTAGCGTGCTAACTCTTGGCATTAATGGCGTGTAGTTCTACACGAGCGCGGTCACGTTAACTATACGTCATTACAAAATGAGACCAATTATATTAAACAATTTTAACGCACTGATAACTAAAACTAACTTATACTAACAAAACACATAATTTGATGGTTCAATGAACTTCATATATGCATAAACAATTTGCTAATTGTATTTAGTTATATCGTATTATCAAAACATCTGTTTCGAGATCTCAAATGGGCTATTGACATAAATTTAGAATTATCTGTGAAGATTTATCGGCCCCGTGTTGTGGTAAACAAATTATCGATTACTTGTTACATTAAATTGTTTATTACAATTATTAGGTACTTATTTGAAGTATTTGATGTTATTGAACGACAAAGTAAACAAGTTTTTGATGTCCTCAGAACAGAGCATTCTAGCAACATTATTTGCTTTGAAAATGAAAGTATTTGGATCGTACAGGACGGGGTGCCTATAATTTTTTTAAGAGGGAAAGGATACATGATCTTGTATTGTGGAGTAAAAAGGGAGATTTATTTGGTCTAGTACAAAACCTACTTACTTTTTTTTTAAATAGTTTTACACTTACTGTTATGGACGAATAGATATTGAGATATTAAAGTACAATTAATCTTATGTACGAGTATCTATTGCAACTTATTAAACACTTTGTAACATACGGACTTTGCAATGGAAAATCTTAACTATTTACTGATAATAAATAACAAAACTTACTGAAAGGTTTCTTTGATTTGAAGCACTGTTTCACATTGTGATTCACATCGTGTTTTATTAATGTTGTTATAAAGTTCAACTCCATTTTGAAGTGGCCGATCTCACAGTTATCACGTTTGGTCTCGCGGTGTCGTGCACTCGACGCGCAGTACGAACCCCGACTACAGCAATGTAAATATCTACGGCACTTTTATCATTTTAACATGGAGCGCACTCGTAAACAACACGATAATCAGACCCCTTTTAATTTCTATTATTCATAGTTGCATTTCACTTGGAGTGATAGTGATTACTCTGTTACTGGCGGTTCGTCACGTATTTCTTTATTGATTTATTTGCATAATACCCTCGATAAGGGGGCATTTGACAGTGATTGCTTTTTCTCTTTTTGTCATTACTTTGTTTGAAAGTAAATAGAAAGAGGTAGTAATTATTTGGTAATGATTTCGAATTTTGGTGTGTATCTTAGGATATTTACTTATCCAAATGCATTAATAAAAGCTACAAGGCGCGTCCATTAAAGTTTTAAAAAGGTTTTGGTGTCCGTTATTGATAACTGCTTTCTATACTTATGTGTACAGATTGAACCCTTGTAATCCAGCTTAAGCATGTTAAAATAACCCTACGACCGTACCCTGCACGCAACTGATATTTAAGAATTTTCTGATGCCAATATGTCTAATAAAATAACCCACTAAGTTTGATGGGTTGATATCGGCTCATACATTCAGCCGCCTATATCCAGTAAAATAAGATGGCGAGGAAGAAAATAATATTATCATTAATTTTATTTATCTGTGTACGTGATTAGTATATTAGAAATTAATTGAATATTATTCATGCGTGATTGGAACTCAAAACCTAGGCACACAGTTATACATCTCTGAGGTGACTTGGCTCTAGGTGTCTCGGGTTCTATTCTCGAGTTGGTCAAAGTACTTATGACTGAAACTGTGCCCGAAATGTAGGGAAGCTTTTTTTTTTTTTTTTTTTTTTTTTTTTTTTTTTTTTTTTTTTTTTTTTTTTTTTTGGG